GTGTGTGAGTGTGTGTGTGTGTGTGTGAGAGTGTGTGTGTGTGTGTGAGAGTGTGAGTATGAGTGTGTGTGTGTGAGAGTGTGAGTGAGTATGTGTGTGTGTGTGTGTGTGTGTGTGTGTGTGTATATGTGTTTTTTCTTTTACATTTATATTACTTATTTAAATATGCCAGATTTGATTTATTTTCATTTAAGGTTTAGTTATTTTAGTACATCAAGTTAAATTAAAAGTATTTTACATTTCATTTTATTTCAGTTAACTTTTTTTTAATTCAAGTAACAAAAATGTTTTATATTTAATTGAGAAGAAAAGATGTAGGATAAGTGCGCGGTTTCCTCTCAGGATGCGTCCTAAAAGATAAAAACTTCTAATTACGTCACGACAATAACTGCGCTCCCTTGAATTCAATTTCAGAGATATAAAAATGTTATTCAACATTTATATCGATTTAAATTATACACATGTGTTATAACATCCATTTTAAGAGTACGAATTAATTCTCAAACAGTCTTCATCTGTGAGGACCCGCTCGCGAAAGACCCACAACAGCCAAGATGGCGGCGGCGGCGGCGGCTTTCCTCGTTTCTTACGGCAGCGACTCAGATTCGGAAAACGAGTCTAAATCCGGTACCAGTCCTCAGAAAGTCGACCCAGACGCGCTAGCTCATCTTCAGCCGTTAAAATCCGGCAGCGTAACGTCGGTAGCCGTGCTGAATTCCGCGCCCGAAGTCGCCGTGAAGGTAAACAAGAAACGCGCCGCTTACCATCACGAATGTTAGCATCAAACAAACCTCAAAATACTGCACTACAGTAGCTTTTTAATGACATTCAAATGATTTTTAAGTGAACTATAGTTTGATAAACGCTGACACGTTTATGTATTTACTCTGTAGGAAAAAAACAGTCGAGTAAAATGTGGTTATTTTGGCTGTTCTGTTCACTCGATCAATATGTGGCCCTGGACCACAACACTAGTCATAAGGGTAAATCAGCTGAAAGCTGAATAAATAAACTTTCCATTGATGTATGGTTTGTTAGGATCGGACAATATTTGGCTGAGATACAACTATTTAAAAAACTGGAATCTGAGGGTGCAAAAAAATCTAAATATTGAGAAAATCATCTTTAAAGTTGTTCAAATGAAGTTCTTAGCAATGCATATTACTAATCAAAAATTAAGTTTTGATATATTTACGGTAGGACATTTACAAAATATCTTCATGGAACATGATCTTTACTTAATATCCTAATGATTCCAGGGTCACATATAACAAGTAAAATCCTGTTTTCTGTTTTTGTGTTTGTCAGGAAGATGTTGAGACCGGGGTTCATCTTGATCCAGCACTCAAAGAAGTCACTTACAACCCCACATATGAAACCATGTTTGCTCCGCAGGTGACTTGATATAGCTGTTTGTCTAGACTGATGGATGCATATTGTGTATAATGTAGAGGTCGACCGATAGTGGATTTTGCCGATACCGATAGCTAGGTTGGACCACACTGGCCGATACCGATTAATTAACCGATAGTTTTAAAATTGATACTGAACAAAATCTAAAATAGTGCTTTATTAACAAAAACAGTACTGAACCACTAGTAGTAGTAGTAAAAAAAAAAAAATAGTAATAGTAAATGTTGAAATTAACACTCTCTAACAAGGAACAATACTTACACAGCTTTCATTAATCTTAATGCTACAAATGGACTCTTATTTTAAAGTGTTACCATTTCATTTCAACAGTCATGCTTAAAGATGCACATCTTTAAATATATACACAAAGGCTATAGCATTAAAATTAGTGTGATATGAGCGTCTTATTTACATCAGTTCTCTCATCTCATTGCAGTTTGGACCAGAAAACCCGTTCAGATCGCAGCAGATGGCCGCTCCGAGAAACATGCTGTCTGGTTACGCTGAACCGGCTCATGTCAACGACTTCATGTTTGAGCAACAGAGGAGAACGTTCTCTACATTTGGTGAGATATACATTATTGTTACTTGTGTACAAGTTTTTGAACGGTAAGATTTTTTTTTTATATATATATATAAAGAAGCCTCTTCTGCTTATCAAAAGCCTGCATTTATTTGAGCCAGAGTACAGCAAAAACAGTAAAATTGTGAAATATTTTTACTATTTAAAATAACTGTTTTCTCTTTGAATATATTTTAAAATGTAATTTATTTCTGTGATGCGCAGCTGTATTTTCAGCATCATTACTCCAGTCTTCAGTGTCACATGATCCTTCAGAAATCATTCTAATATTCTGATTTGCTGCTCAAAAAAACATTTATTATTATTATTTTGAAAACCGTGGAGTAGGATTTTTTCTGTTTTTTTGATGAATAGAAAGTTCAGAAGAACAGCGTTTATCTGAAATAGAAATCGTTTGTAACATTATAAATCTCTTTATCATCACTTTTGATCAATTTAAAGCATCATCGCTAAATAAAAGTATTTCTTTCTCCCAAAAAAAAAAATTATACTGACTCCAAGCTTTTGTATGGTAGAGTGTATAATGTTACAAAAGCTTTTTATTTCAGATAAATGCTGATCTTTATATTCATCAAAGAATCCTAGAATCCCGAAAAAAAAACTGTTTTAAATATTGAAAATAATAATAATAATCAGGAATGTTTCTTGAGCAGCAAATCAGCATATTAGAATGATTTCTGAAGATCATGTGACACTGAAGACTGGAGTAATGATGCTGAAAAT